TAGGCCAGCGAATGACTTCTCTCTGTAGCCTTTAGTGCCTCTTAATGTCCAGCAAGACTAAACAGAGAGGGTGCCTGGCAAGGATGGTAGCCCAGCAGGGTAGTCCCAGCCCACAAGGCAGCAGCCTCTCTGAATCTCAGCTATACAAGGGGACATTGCATCACAGAATCACTGGGGTGTACACCGCCCTCCTCAGGCTCCAGAATGGGAAAAGGCTTCAAAGGTTATACCCTTCCCACTGCCCAACCCTTGGAGGCTTCCGTCACTGGGCCTGACTGGTGAGAGATGCCAGGCTGGAGTGGTCCCCAGAGCTGCACTGACAGGGACAGAGGGAGAAAAGGGTGCTTCTATTCTACTGGTGTCCCCACTGCCATTACTGAGCCATGAGGACTCAGGCTGCCTGAAGGGAGTGCAGAGCAGGACCGTAGGTCCTCAGTAGGCCACTTGACCACGAGGCCTGGTCCCAGCTCCCACTCACTCACTGACAACGGTCAACACCCCTGACTCAGAAGGTCTCCAGGAGTCAAAGAAGAGGGTAGGAATGTTCCAAAGAAATGCATCTCTCATTTTTATCCTTTTTGTTGGCATGCAAACAAAGGTAATAAAACGTGGTGAACATGGTCTGGGAATCAGACAGACAAGCATCCAAACAGTGGCTGCGAAGCTTGAAGCAAGCTGTGTTGGCTTTGGGGTCTCAGCTTATTCATCTGTAGAACAGACATAATATCAGACACTAGCTATGGGGCGCTGAGGATTAGACTGCATACGGCGCTCAGCAGGGAGCATGGCGCAGAGTTGGGGCATGTGACCTGTGATACGCTATTATTACTTTTTATGCCAACAGCTTTCTCATTGGGTGTTTCATGAGCATATTAGGATGATGTGAGATCAGCACACCTGTCCTATGGCCCAAGAAGTGCCAGAAAAGTCTTCCCTAGCAGCGTGATGTGCAGGAGCCCTGTGTTAAGCAGTATTTCCTCAGGCATCATGAAAAGGCAAACTTTAACCTTTTCCTGTAAATATGAACAACGTCCGACCAGTGGCTATGAAAGAACCTGGGCACTTTCCATTTCTCAGCCTCTCTGAAAATAAAGGGCACGATATCTTATGAAGTGATTCTTCATCTGGCATTTCTCTTTAAAAACAATGTTTTTATTGATTTCAGAAAGAGATAGAAACATCAATGATGAAAGTGGATTACTGATAGGTTGCCTCCTGCACACACACTACCGGGGGATCAAGCCTGCAACCAAGACATGTGTCCTGACCATGAATCAAACCGTGACCTCTGGTTCTGGGTCAATGAACAAGCACTGAGCCACACCAGCTGGGCCATCTGGCATTTCTTGAGTCTCCATTTCTACCTGACTCCAATTGAATTTACATATTGGTAGGCTCAGGGTGCCAACCTCATATCATTTAGGAGAGCAACACCTCTTACATTCTCCATTTATGGGGTTCTGCAAACGCCATGTCCTGATTCTCACGGGAGCATCTGGTGCCAGGTTGGCCAGAGTGTCATTCAGGACTCAGCTGAAATAATCAGAGAAAGATGTCAGCCTGGACTGCTGAAGCCCCTTGACTTGCCACAGAAGGATTCCACCTGAGAACAAAGCCAACAAACACATAGGAATGTGGAGGCAAGAGACAGCAAGGGTATTCATGACCTGATGGGAGTACCTGGATCCAGCCATGCCTGAAGCCTTACCATTCTGTGAGCTAATAACATCCCATTTCTGTTTAAACAAATCTGACTTGAGTTTTCTGTTACTTGTAACTAAGAGGATCCTGACATATACAGTGACATAAGAATCCCTTTGTATGAAATAAACTAGGAGACTGCTGTCTGTGATAAGCAAAGCAAATACTGCCTTCTTTTAAATTAGAGAAACAAACTCAGGGGGACAGGCAAGTAGATGTGTGTCCCAAGCCAGGGGCAGGACAAAAGACCTAAAAAGTTCTATGAGCTCTAACCGGTTTGGCTCAGGGGATAGAGCATTGGCTTGCGGACTGAAAGGTACCAGGTTCAATTCTGGTTAAGGGCATGTACCCTGGTTGCGGACACATCCCCAATAGGAAGTGTGCAGGAGGCAGTTGATGGATGTTTCTCTCTCATCGATATTTCCAACTCTCTATCCCTCTCTCTTCCTCTCTGTAAAAAAATCAATTTTATATATATATAATTTCTGTGGCTCCTCTGAGTATCTAAACTTAAACTGTGAGACCACAGCTACTTGCTGAGCCTTGCTCCATGGTTTTCCCATGTCTTCTAGGAAAGCTAGTTCCACACGTTCTGCAGAGCAGGGTTCCCTAGTCCCATCTGTGTGTCAGAAGTGCTGGATTCACAGAGTTCAAAATATTGCTTTATTACAGAAATTCTCCAAAAGCCCCAATGGGCCCCTTGAATCTCCCAGGCTGAACCAAGGCCCAGTATTTCTCATGCTGGGTAGTCCACGGAACCCTATTTGCTCAGAGCAACTTAAGGTATAAACCCACAGAGCTCCCTTGCAGAATTAGGGCTGTAGAGCTTTGCTTCTGAAAGTATAGTCTGAGGCCCAGGAGCATCAGCCAGGGAGCTCATGAGAAGCTCAGAACCTGGGAGGTGGGGGGAAAGAGGGAAGGTAGGGAGGGTGCATAGGTGCTGAATCAGAATCTGTATTTTAACAAGAGCCTCTGGGACCTGCACTACACTTGCTTGGGAGTGTTTCACTACCAATGAAGTAAGAGCAAGAGCTGCCAGGAAGGGGCCACATGAGGCATGTTGGTTTAGAGCCAGAGCCGCTAGGAGGATGCTGTGCACTTGGCTGTGGAGGACTCAGTGAGGGGCGTACACAGGAAGTACACCTCGGGTCATATATCAGTGCCTTTCACCCACCGGACTTGGGAGCACCATGGAAGAAGAGCTGAGAGAACCAACCAGACTCCTGCCATCAAGGGCTGAGCCTAAGCTGCCAGCTGCAAAGCAGGTGTGAAGACCCTTTCCTGCAGGGTCACTGTTGAGGACCAGACGATGATGCATGAAGCCCTTAGCATATGACCCCATCACTGATGCACAGAGGGACCTTACAGGTTAGGAAATTAATTGGTATCAAGTCAGAACAGATGCACACAGCAAAGAGAGAGAAAAAGAAGTCACTATGCTGCCCCACTATCTCCGGGCCATTTCACAGACGGCATTCAAAGCCATTCTGGAAGGCGCCAGCCCCTCTTCCGACTCCAGCCTTCTTCTCAGCCCTGGAAGCATGTCCGGGATGCACCATGCACCTCTGCCTATCCTGATTGGGCCAAGGCACACTGGTACCTCTTCCCTCTGCTGGGACTGCCAACCTGTGTGGCTGCCCACTGACAAAGCATTCAGGTAGCCCCCAGGAGTGTGTTTTCAGGCCCCAGCAAGAGTGCTCCTCAGCCTATCAACTGCCCTGAGCATGTGTGACGCAGAGGGGCACCAGGCCTGCCCTATTTCTGACCGGCGCAGCGAACAAACACACTAGAGGTGCTGGTTGAACAGATGAATCACTGCCCAGAATGAATGAATGAATGATACAATGAAAAAGTATCTGTAAAGTGCATCCATTGGGAATTAACCAGTACACAGAAGTTGGTCCACCAACAAATGCATCCATGTCACCTCTTCCTAACCCACCCACCCCGTCCTGAAGTCCCCAGGACCTATTTCCTCTAATTAAGGCGATTCACCTCTAGAATAAAATGAGGTACACCAGTGAGCCCCCAGACACCCTCAGAGACAACTGGGCATAGAGGGCCACACCATGTTAGCCAATTCCTCCAAGGGCACGGACAGTTGTCTGCAATACGCCCAGCTTCTAACCAAAGGCAGTGATTTTCTGAAGCAACAAGTGACTTTTCCCGTGTCTCCATAAAAAGAATAGCAGCGGTTGTGGGGCTCTGGGGTAATTGCTGGCTCTGTAGCTCACAGGGTGAGCCTGAGGACAGGGCTGCAGGGCTGGGAGAGCGGCCACGCCCTCGGAGCAGGAGTCTTCGGAGCTGCAATTAGAACGGAACCCTTGGTGGGCGGTCTAGATGACTTGCTCGCACAGCCGGCCTGACCACCACACATCCTCTCCAAAATAGAAAGCTGCAGTGGCTTCTGCTGTGTGCCAGGGCCCTGGGCAGCGGGACAGAACACCGCCAATGTCAGCCTCCTCCTGGAGCATTGATCCAGGCTTCCTCCCGGCTCTTATGTCAAGCCACAGTCCTGTGGGCCCCCGGAAGAGGAGAACTTCCCAGGCTCCAGGAACCCCCAGGCAGCCCAGGAGGGGGCCTGCCCCAGCCTCTCTCCTGTCCTCCAGGGGCTGCCCACGGGCCCCAGAGCCTGCATTTCCCAACGTCCCCCTGGGTTCAAAACAGAGAGAAACCGACTTTTCAAATAGCCAGCTGAACTTCACAGGAACCCACAGTCAAAATCAGTGGATCCCAGTCAGCCAGAGGCAGAAGGAGAACTGGGCATTTCAGCATCACTGCTGCCCCTGGGCTGAGATCATCCACACACTAGAGACAAGGAGATTGACTGCCAGTACATGTGTCCTCCACACGTATGACACATACTAAAATGCACAGGGTACACGCTCAACTGACACACAAATGGGCAGAAACCTACAGATACACATGTGCACAAGACACACAAAGGCACATTCATGTGTTCACACGGGTGCCCAGACACGTGTACACATTAACTTTCCAAACACATGTGCACATACTCACAGACATATACGCACACCTTGATGCCAAGCCAAGACCTGTGCCTGCAGGCCTAAAAGAGACACATAGCTACTTGCCCAGCCCTTTGGAGACCCCGGCCCCCTCTCCTGTCAATCACAATACCTTGTCTTCCAGCCACCCCCTCAGTGTATGCCCTGTGGTCCCTCAGCAGAGAAGGTCCTCAGTGCCGTCCTGGCCCTCCCAGGGGACACCCAGGTACCAGGCTCCCGAAGCTCAGGCAAGAGCCATGGACAGAAAGGGGTGGCGAAGCGCCTGCTCACCAGCCCATCGCAGGTGCTGAGCGCCACGGAGGAGGCCTCACTCACGCCGGCTACGTCTCCAGTGTAGAGGCAGGTCCCGAGCAGGGGCTCCACGCGGGTGGTGCCTGCCTCGCCCTGCCACTCCATCGTGGCCCCGGGCGCCACGAGGCGGGCGTTGGGCCGCAGCCGCAGGTGCAGGTCTCGGTTGAAGACGGTGATGTTGTAGAACAGGCGGTGGTCGGGGTCCTCACCACCTCCAGAGGAGCCCGGGGTCCGGGCGGGGGCAGCCCTGCGGGCCCGAACCCCGGCCTGGGCCGTCGTCACCGACACCACGTGGGACACCAGGCGGCCCTGGGCGTCAGTGCGCACGGGCACCGCCAGGATGCGCTGGGCTCCGCGGCCCGGGGGTCCGCCTGCAATGGGAAGGAGCGTGGAGCCGCCGGCTGGAGCTCCCCAGCCCGGCTGAGCCCGCAGCACCCCAGTCCCACCCTCAAGCTCCCAAAGCGAAGGGAAGGACACTCCTGGGGCACCTCCCTGGATCTGCCAGCGGGAAGAGCAGTTACGCCGCCGCCCGGGTCCCGCTCTGGGACCTCCTGCCCCATCGGGGTTGGGGTTCCGCGGGCTCCTCATAGGTCCTCAGGGGAGCAGCCCCGCCACCGGGGACCTACCGTCCTTTGCAGGACGTGGGCCCCTCTGAAGCCAGTCCCGGTACCCCTCTCACCCCCCGGGAGCCTCCACACTCCAGTGGCCCCTGGGGCGGTGAGGGCTCGGCTCCCCCCGGCACAGGCGGCCTCTGAGCACAGCATCCCGTCCTCGGAGGGGTGGAGCAGGGTCCCTCAGATCTTCGGGGATCCCCTCTGAGGCTCCCAAACCGATCCCCAGGGCCCCAGGCGAGGTAGGCACCCGGCTCCTGGGGAGCATCCCCGGACGCCAGCCCAGGAGTAGCCCGGCCCTGGCTCCCCGGGACCCGCTGGGGCAGGCGCTGGGAGCTCCGCCGCGGGGCATCCCCGGCCCTCAGCCGCCGAGCTCCGCTCCGCGCCCCGAGAGCCGCGGGGCTCCAGGTTCCCCGCGGCCCGAGGAGTCTGGGTGCCCCGAGAGGGGCGCCCCCTGCGCCACCGATCTGGCCCGAAGTTGGCCAACTTGGCCCCAGACGGGGCGCTCGGAGTTTGCCCAAGTCCGGCAGGACGCTCCGGGTGCACGGGGAGGGGGAGGGGAGGGGGAGGGGGATGTGCGGGGGGCGGGGCGGGCCAATGGGGGTCGCGGGGGTGGGGGCGGGCTGCACCCACCTGGGGGGTCGGCGGCCGCGGCGAGCCGGGCGGCGGCGGGCGGCGGCGGTGGCAGCAGCAGCAGCAGCAGCAGGAGCAGCGGGAGCGGAGAGAGGCAGAGCAGGCGGCGCACGGCGCCAGCTGACGGATCCATGGCAGCCGGACCGCAGCCGGGCCCCGCACACGCAGCCGGCGCGAAAGTTCCCCGCGCGCCGCCCAGCCCACATCTGGGGCCTCTGGAGCCGCCGCAGCTGCAGCACCGCAGGGCGCGGGGCGGAGGAGCGAGGCGCGCCGGGGAGGGAGGGCGGGGAGCTCCGAAGAGAGGCGGGGAGAGGGAAGGAGCGTGGAGGGAGGCGAGCGGGCGGGAGAAGGAGGGCGCAGGGAGGGCGGGGACGGCGGGCGCTCAGCCTGCGGTGACCCGGCGCTTCTCGGCGGGGCCGCCGCCGCCCGCTCACAGCGAAGCAGAGACACCCGGAGGCGGCGGCGGAGTAGCGCGTGGGATCCCCGCCGCTGGCCACCCTAGGCTTGCCCCGCGCCCCCGTGGCACACCGTCTGGAAGGAGACCCGCCCCAGCATCCCCATTCAGAGAATTATCCTTGGGGCCCACCAGTCAGCCGTGGAGCTTAAGAGACAGCCTGGCCCTACGTTTGCGCCCTGGGGCAGGACAGGACTCGGGAAGCGGGTGGGGAGGGTGGGGAAGGCCTGAGATGGAGACCTCAGACCAGAAGATGCTTTTACAGAAGGGAGCACTCGCTGCACAAGGGGGTATCCTAAGATCAACTCTTACCCTTCCAGAGCGAGGCAAGATACCCACCATCCCCAACTTCTTTCTGCTTGAAGTCCCTGTCCCCCTCCATCTGTCTCCCAACCCTCCTTTGCGAGCTGGGAACACAGCCTCCTCCAGCCAGATCTGGCACTCCTTCCTAGAGCACTGGCAGCGGATCAGCCCTCACCTGTCCGGAACCCCACGTGGGCATCTAGCCTCCTGGACTCTCCTCTTCTCCAGTTTCCCCCTCCCCCGCTTAAAATAGCCTTTCTACTCTTCTCACCTTTTCCAATTCAGAATACCAGGCATACCTCTCCATCCCGGATCAGGTTTGCCGTCAGAGCCCTTTGCCAGTTGGAATCTCTTCTCCAGCAAGATTTGGAGCCTGGAGTCACTCTCCTACCAGGCCTGCTGCCCACAACACAGGGACCTTTCTTCCCCAACCTCTCAGGCTGTGCCTATTGGAACATCTCTGCTATGTGATCCCATATTTTTGCCCCATTCCTGTCTCTCTGGATCTTCTCTTTCACAGTGCTCCAGGCCCTTGTACCCAGGACTCCTTGCCAGCCAGGAGGGCTGGGTCTTATAGGGAAACAGGTGACTTTTACAACCTGCTTTAGCTGTGATTTCATCTCCTCAGTTCCATCATTTTTAGGACCTGCACTTGAGGGCACTGCACCTTGGTGGCCATCTTCACCTGCAAGCTTCCCTCTGTGTTGCCTGCGGGTGCTGAGGCAGGCACGGTGAGCATTTATGGTGAACATTAACAATGGTGAAATTTCACATAAGAACTGAGATAGCTGACTTTTCTTGAGAAATTGGAAAGTGGGGTCACACTGGGCCCACATTTCTGCTATTAACCCTTCAATGGGACACATGCCCTGCAGCTTGTGTAGGTCCCTTCCCTTATCCCCAGGAAGCATCTACTATTGATACCTCCGCAAACACAGCTGGTTTCAGAGAAAGGTGGATGGTGATCAGTGCATGGAAAAAGAGATCACTCCAGAGCCAGCCATCCTGGAGGACTTCCTGTTAGAAGCAGCATGGGTTGGATCCTGAAGGCTGAGGGAGTCGGGCAGCCAAGCATTGAGTCCAGCGATATTTTAGAACCTACGGCATTCTTCCACTCATTCCTATTGTGGTGGTTGTGCTTTCGTGCTCCTCAAAGGATGAATGACACCCAATAGCAGCCTCACCATCTTCAAGGGTCATGTTCTATAACCTCACACACTTCCCGGCCAGGCTGATGGCACTTCCTCATCCTCTTCCCAATGCCATCATTATTTCTTTATTCAGTACTTCATCCTGAACGTAAATGTTTAAAGGATACTTTAAGTCTCTGAATGAAAAGCCAACACTTCTCCATAGATCAAAAGTACCTGTCAAAAATAAATAAAATGGGGGGGAAATTATGTCAAATTCTAGATACTATTTGCTGCAAAAGGCACTGATGCTGAAGCTGATTAGCAAGAGTTGGGAAAGTAATCAGACAGATGAGCAAGAGCAGGGATCTTCCCTTTGGTGCAATGAGAGGGGCAAAAGGAAAGGTGAGAAGTGACTTTCACTTGGTGATACATGAGTTGTTCAATAGGTCCATGTATGTTATTATCTACATACTTGGGTATGCCTGTCCTAAGACATTTTTTTTGTAAAGAGTGTGATTTTTGTCTCCCTGACACCCTGCCACACCAGGCACCTGATCCTGCCCACATCACCCCCAGGTTCTGGGAATCCACCCAGATAGAGATTCCCCACGAGTGGGAAGCAAACCACCGCTCTTGACCAACCCATCTTTTAGCCCCCAAATGACAGTCTGCATGGAAGAGTGGATGAACTGGGCAAATATCCATCAAAATCTATGGCTGAATCCTCCATGCATGGGGTCCTTAAGGGCTTATCCTCAACTACAAAAACAAAAAACAAAACAAAAACAAAAAACAAAACAAAAACAAAAACAAAAAATCCCCCAAACCCCCCCCCCCCAAAAAAAAAAAAAACAACAGATACCTACTCCTTCACACCTCCATGGCTCATATCTCTCCTCTTCCTTTTCTAGAAAATGCTGCTCCAGCCTCTGGTATTTGCATCTCCCTCAGGTCCCCCTCCTCCTCCTCCTCCAGTTGAAATGGGGCATAGAAATCCCACATTTCTTGATCATCTGTTTATTCATTCCAGACCCCAAAGACATAGACCAAAGACTACAGGCCAACTCAGCTCCAACACTTGCTTAGTGTGTGTTACGTGTGTCTGCTTTGAGTTGAACTTGAATATCTTTATGGCTGGTTTCTACTCTCTTGCTTGATAGAGTCCCCACCACTCCTATTGTCCTCCATCTGCCTATTGCTTAAGTTTGTTACCAGCATGGTCCCTGAAGGCCTGAAGTTACGAATTTGAATCTAGAACAGCTGCCTGTTGAGGGGGAGGGATGAGGACAATTTAAGATGAGCTTGAGCCCTCTTACCCCTAGGATTAGGGTTAGGGTTCCCAAGGATGTGAGGTTCAAAAAGAGATGGGGATCTACCATGGTCATCTTGGGTGTCAAAAATCACCATGCATGCCCAAGAGCAGGGGCATTAAGAAAAAACAATGTCTTCCTCTGTGCCCTTCCCAGCTCTCACTGGGAACAGTGCTCTGCCATATTCTGAGGGAGGGGAAGGGCTCTCTGCTCCAACTCTGGCTTCCAGGCCACATGTGCCATCACAGACTTCACCAGAGCCATCCCTGCCCCTGGTAGCCACACAGAAACCAGAGCTCCTTCTGCCCTTTGACGAGGTCACACTCTTTGGCAGTCCTCGCCTCCCTGCATGCTAGAAGCAGACCAGATGGAGGCGATGAGGTTTCACTGTCCTCCCTCTAGACAAGCAAGCTGGGAGCAGTTGGGGGATGGACCTAGACTCTTCCAGCCCCACTGGGGACCTGGATTCAGAGCATAAGAAGCTGTAAGGTCTTAGTGACCTTGCCAAGGGACCTATAAAGACAGCAGCTCTGTCCTCCTCCACCGTTGGCAAACAGCTGTCACAGTGGCCTCCTCAGATGCACTGACGAATGCTGGCCAGGAGTGGCCTTGGTAAGCAATATATCAAGGGAATGCTGATTGAACAGAAAATGGCAGCCAGATGGTCTTTGGGGGGTTCTTGCTGATTTTTGAGCATCCCTCCACGCACACACACACCCTGACAAGGAGCTGTGTCAGGCAAAACAGGAAAAAAGTAGATGTTTCTAGGTGGCCTTTTTTTTTTTTTTTTTTTTTTTTTCATTGCTACGTTTCACACAGAGTTGTCCTACCTCCATTAGAATCAGTTCTGCCTGGAAGTGGAAGACAAAGTACTTGCAGTGTGGAGGCTAAGGGATCCAGGATCATTCAACACAAGCTATAGGTCCCATTAAATATACCCTTAATGACCTGGGGGAGGCTGAAATCTCAGTGTCCGTTTGTAAGTACCTGTCCATTTGCACCTAAGCTCAGCTTAGCAGAGAGGCAGAGGCTCACAGATTTTCAAGGGATTGTCTGGGTGTGGCAGCAGGGAGTACTGTCCTGGGCCCACTTGTATCTGGATCTAGGCCCTGGGTCCACCTGTGCCTAACCTCTCACAGAAGTCAGGAGGGCCATTTGGTATGCCTCACCCATCTGAGAAAGGCCTGTGGGCCTCTCAAGATAACCTTGGCTGCTAATAACACAGCCAGCTTAAATGTAAGAAAATGTATGATGTCATGTACCAGGTCTGCAAGTATGACGACTCCAGAGCTCAATCTGCCACCTAGGTCTGTGACCCTGACTAGACCAGCATGTCAAACTCATGGCCGGTAGGCTGTGTGCCTCATTTAAATAAACGAGGCATGAGGCCCGCTGACCGAGAGTTTGACATACTTGAGGTAGGAGAATAGCCAGACCACATGCAGGCTTTCTGCCTGAAGAGCTGGCTGGCTCCCTCTGGTCTGTGGGCCAAGGTTGGGTCATTTGACCATTGCTGAACCAGCTGCTAACTAGGGGCGGGGCTGTTACCTGGATTAACTCTCTGGGATACAATGAATATTAGGGTTCAGCCCCATGGCCCCAGTCTCCAGCACCTCATTTGCCTCTATTTCCAAATGAGAATGTATCACAGTCCCAGATTACCCTTGCCTGGTCCTCACATGATTTTATGTTCACCTCCCATCCCCAGACGATATCATCCATAGAGCATGGAGAATTGATTTCTTTACATATAAATCCTGCACATAGTTTATGATGGGCACAATCCTATTGCATTGTGGGGTTTTGTGTTCAAATCCTTTGTAAGCCTGACTGGATAGTTCGTCACTTATAATCCGTTGCTGACCCTGGCCTAGGCCTTGCTAGACCTCAGGATCCCTGGCCTCAGGGGCTTTCTTCTTTTTAGATCCACCCT